TGAACATTTAGCTTAGCTCAAGGCCCAATTGCCTGTTCTGTTCTGTTCTTTACTGAATAATACAGAACAGAATGATAAAAAAATCAATGTTGTTTCCATTTGAGTTTTTGCATTCTGGTTTCCTATGTATTATGAATCAGATATAATCAAGTGTCCATTATTCTAGTATAGAGAGTGTCTAAATCACCAAAAGTAAGATGCAGTTGTGAACTCCAGCTTTCTGGCCAGGTGTAACTCATCTGCCAACCTATTACAAGCTAAGTATAGTTCTGAAATCTTAAAGCTCACTTTTGAATATTTGCAATAAAGAATCTTTTGTGTCTTTGAGGTTTTGTAGTCAAAACAAAAAGGTATTTTTGCAGTCAATTTAGGCATTTACGCACTTTACGCAACTTTCAAATGCAAACTTAAAAACTTATATTTAATTAAACTGGTTGATGAGTCATGGTTAATTTTCATAGCTATGGAGCCTGGGATTTCTGTCAGTATCCTCTTAATATACAAAACCATTTTGTGATCATATTCAGACCTAATGTAAATTTTAAAGCTTTCAAATTGTGGCAGTGAAATGTTTCCGTACATGTGAGATAAAACAAAGTTTCAAAGCAACATGAGTTGCTTTCTTCCATGAAAGCTTCATTCAAATATAAAGCTGTCATTCAAAGCATAATTCCATCATAGAAATAAAAACAGCGACAAATCCAGCATATGTTCATATCTTAGCAGGGACTCCACAGTATGTGAAACTCAAATTAGCATTGACCAGCATTAAATGTGTCTGTTTTAAAAATCTGAAATTAAAGTCAAGGCATGTGTGAGGCGACAAACACGGCTCTTTCAACACGGGAAATGAAACTGACAAATAATTCACTTTCCCCACGGGCATTAATTAAAAAACATATACTTGTCAACAACAGATGGCGTAAAATTATATATATATTATGCAAATTAGCAGTTAAGTGCAGATCTCTTGTTTTTCACTAACACTGACACAACAACTGATACAGTTAATTTTTCATCAAATTACAGTCACGTAACATGAAAATTCCCGCTGTGGCAAATGGAAATGTACTAGCTGACGTTTGTGTGGTGCGTGCGTGCACGTGTTTGCACATACACAACAGTGTGTACCTTCATCTGAGTTTTTCTCTGTGTGTGTTTGTGCAGACCATCAGGCTAATCTGTGGTTGTTTTAGCCAGAGCTGAGGCCCTGTTGGTGATGTAGTGGCGGGTGTGTTTGAAGAGCAGGGTCTTCACTCCTGCTGCTTAAACGGCAAGCTTTCATTTAAGGCTCCATCGAGTTGCATTTCATGAAAAATAAACACTCGCCCCAGCAGCTGTGGTTTTGTGGCCTGGCAGTTGGCTGTAGAGATGGAGTACGATTTCTTTGCTCGATTGGCTGTGCTCAGCAAGGCAGATTGTCTTTTGGGCGTTCGGCATCCTTACACAACTGCAGAAATAGCAGCCAGTTGAAATTAAAAACTCTTATTTCTCCCTCCTGCAGAGTGGATATGATAGCAGTGTATTCGACACACACACTGAGGGAAACTGAATGCAACTTGATGTCATAAAAGCGGGATTACATGTAGCAGCTTTCGAAAAGTCATTGCTTAATATTCCTTCTGTTTCCTTACCACAGATTTAACTACTGATTAAATCCCAGAGAAAACAAATTGTTATTCTTTCTTTTCTCTCATAACAATATAAAAAATATTTTTTTGCCACATTACTTCCATGTATGGAAACGAAAAAAATACCAAAAACCTACTTTTGTTTTGTCAAATTCTTCTGAAGAAAAATAAATAGGTTGTCATCTTATCTGATTTACATGGACAAACAACACCCGCTGACATTATGCTAAACAAAAACATACTTCTTGGTGAGTCGAGTTCATTTCAGGGCCGTGGATAGAGCTCCCGGCCTGACTGGCAGCTGTCCACGGTCGTGGCTGGAATGCAGAGTGCGTCCCTGGGGTCAGGAGTGATCAAGGACCGTGGGATGATGGGTGTTTTGGATTAAGAGGCGGGGTCACGGGGTCACGAGGGCTTTCTGGCCCTGCGAGGTGACAAGGGGGTGGAGTCACGCTGTGAGCGCTGCTTGTTCCCACTGTACAGAGAGGAGATGGAGGCATTGGTGGGGGCCTGCTGTTGTGGCAGCGCGCGGCGAGGATACAGGGGGCCCCCCTGAGCAGCACGACGTCACGCACGGCGCCACGGAAAGGCTTACTGACGAAACAGTAGAGGAAGAAGTTGACAGCGGTGTTGAGCATGGCCAGCATGTTGGACAGGTCGTAGGCCAAGTGGACCCGCCAGTCTCTCTGTGAACTGAGGACACGTACAGGTGGTAGATGACCACGATTGTCCTGGGGGCCCACAGCACAGAGAACACAGAGGTGATGGCCAGCAGCATGGCTGTGGTTTTCCCAAGTCGCCGTGGAGGTGCCGACTTTGGCCCGCACTCCTCCTGGCAACGCTGCTGCCTCTGCCTCACCCTCAACGTCTGAATATCAAAGAGTTCAGCACCAAGAAGATGCTGCAGGGCAGGAAGTAGATGATGGTTACATGTGTCCATATGAGGACGGTGTCCAGCGCCGTGGGCGGGTGGCTGTTCCTCCACATGTCCGACCACCAGAAGAAAGGCACACCTGACGCCACGACAACATCAGGACCACTGCGATGATCTTCCTGGCCCGTGCCGGATAGCTGATCTGGCGGTGGAGGAGAGGGTGGCACAGTGCCACGTAACGGTCCACGGTGAGGGGTACGGTGGACCAGATTGAGGCGTGGTTGGCGGCGAACTCTGCAGCGCTGACAGAGTGCAGCAGGAGTGCAGGGACATCACGGTGAAAGACCGCCGTCTCCAGCAGGAAGCCGACGAAGATGATGAATAGCTGAGAAAGGATGTCCGAGCCCGTCACTGCCAAGAGGTAGTAGTACAGAGCCTTCTTAGTGCGGGACGCCAGTCTGGACAAGGCCACCGCCGTCAGGATGTTCACTGAGAGAAAAGAAATGAAATTATTGTATTAGGTTCTACTTCCATGATATTTAGCTGCATGAAAACATCTGGGAAATGAGGCTGTTCACATATGTAAGGACTGAGAAGAAGTTCCAGGCTATAGATAATATATGTTATAAAAAAATATATATAATACTTTTATTTTGTAGTCTTTTCAGACCGATGTTCTGTTGTTGGATTAATCTCAATCAAAATACAGTTAATTAAAAGTCAAACGTAAAGCACTACTCTGCTAAGGTAGGCTAGGCTAGCTTTAGCAGGAGTACGCCACTTCTTCAGAACTTCATAATGACTGGATTTTTACCTACTGCCTTATTCATGTGGCATAACTACTATCAAGTTTGGTTATTTAGCAAGATGCCAATTAAGCAAAATTTATATCTTCAAAATTAAAGTGCAGTAATTGTTTCGCGCTTGTTTTGTTACAATGTATATACATGTTACTTTTGTTGAGCTGCTTACAACTGAAATCCTTAATTTCTTTGGCAAAATATTTTGGTCATGTTGTCTTTGGTAAAAAAGACTGGATGAAGAAATCTTCCTTTGAAAGGCTGAAGTGTAAAAACTATGCATCCACAGCAGTGTAAGCTACAAACCATTGATTTGTCTCCCTGCTGCTAATACAGTATCGCCTCTGTACGATTTACAGTATCTGCATGCTTTTTTTTTCCTTATCAACAGCAGGGTATTTTCACTGCAACTATTTGGACACCACCACCAGTCTTAAGACTCCTTCAGTCATACAGATGTTGACTCTGGCACTCTGGCCTTTATATTTATTTCCCTTTGGGGACAATTACACGATGTGACCTGGAGGTCATCTGGATACTCTGTTAACACGTCCGCTTGTTTTGAGCAGGGCTCTGCGTAAATCCCTGATGGGTCAATAATAATTTGCTGCCATCGACTTTTAGACGAAGCACAGTAATCAGAACAATGGTGGTGTGAAGACTTTTAATCAAAGTGACAGTTATTTCCTCTTCCTGGATTATTGAGGTAATACATTTTTTGCAGATGTCGGAGACAGGTGGCTGGATGGATTGATAAATACAAATAAACACTAACTGATTATTAGATCATTAATTTAATTATTGTAACCTGTGAAAAGAGCAATCAGTGCTTGGTTCTGTGCTGCAGCAGTATATTATCTCCCTGGTCCATTAAAGCAACAGTAATGTACCTCTAACTCACTTGACTATTGATTTTTCTTCTGTCTGTGTGCAGTTCCCACTTCTGTTATAAATAGATATCAAGAGATTTAAAAGTGCTCTGTTTACGCATTGACTGTGGGTCACTGCAAATCCATCTAATGAAATGATGCAGCTCATTTTCCTGGCTTTCATGGATGGAGGCTAACAGCTCCATTTAGCTGCAGAGTTGGGTTATAATTAGCAGTGGCCATGTCACAGTGAGGGTCCCCTTTTAAATTTAGCATTACATCTATTGTTCATGGAAAAAAAAAAAAATATATATATATATATATTAATTAGCCTAGCCTAAACATTACATTTTTTTACCAGTGTTGCAGTTGAGTCCTACAGATGTAGCTGAACATTTAGCTTAGCTCAAGGCCCAATTGCCTGTTCTGTTCTGTTCTTTACTGAATAATACAGAACAGAAATGATAAAAAAATCAATGTTGTTTCCATTTGAGTTTCTTGATCCTAGTATAGAATGAGTGTCTAAATCACCAAAAGTAAGATGCAGTTGTGAACTCCAGCTTTCTGGCCAGGTGTAACTCATCTGCCAACCTATTACAAGCTAAGTATAGTCTGAAATCTTAAAGCTCACTTTTGAATATTTGCAATAAAGAATCTATTTGTGTCTTTGAGGTTTTGTAGTCAAAACAAAAAGGTATTTTTGCAGTCCCAATTTAGGCCGTATTTACGCACTTTACGCAACTTTCAAATGCAAACTTAAAAACTTATATTTAATTAAACTGGTTGATGAATCATGGTTAATTTTCATAGCTATGGAGCCTGGGATTTCTGTCAGTATCCTCTTAATATACAAAACCATTTGTGATCATATTCAGACCTAATGTAAATTTTAAAGCTTTCAAATTGTGGCAGTGAAATGTTTCCGTACATGTGAGATAAAACAAAGTTTCAAAGCAACATGAGTTGCTTTCTTCCATGAAAGCTTCATTCAAATATAAAGCTGTCATTCAAAGCATAATTCCATCATAGAAATAAAACAGCGACAAATCCAGCATATGTTCATATCTTAGCAGGGACTCCACAGTATGTGAAACTCAAATTAGCATTGACCAGCATTAAATGTGTCTGTTTTAAAAATCTGAAATTAAAGTCAAGGCATGTGTGAGGCGACAAACATGGCTCTTTCAACACGGGAAATGAAACTGACAACATAATTCACTTTCCCCACGGGCATTAATTAAAAAACATATACTTGTCAACAACAGATGGCGTAAAATTATATATATATATGCAAATTAGCAGTTAAGTGCAGATCTCTTGTTTTTCACTAACACTGACACAACAACTGATACAGTTAATTTTTCATCAAATTACAGTCACGTAACATGAAAATTCCCGCTGTGGCAAATGGAAATGTACTAGCTGACGTTTGTGTGTGCGTGCGTGCACGTGTTTGCACATACACAACAGTGTGTACCTTCATCTGAGTTTTTCTCTGTGTGTGTTTGTGCAGACCATCAGGCTAATCTGTGGTTTGTTTAGCCAGAGCTGAGGCCCTGTTGGTGATGTAGTGGCGGGTGTGTTTGAAGAGCAGGGTCTTCACTCCTGCTGCTTAAACGGCAAGCTTTCATTTAAGGCTCCATCGAGTTGCATTTCATGAAAAATAAACACTCGCCCCAGCAGCTGTGGTTTTTGTGCCTGGCAGTTGGCTGTAGAGATGGAGTACGATTTCTTTGCTCGATTGGCTGTGCTCAGCAAGGCAGATTGTCTTTTGGGCGTTCGGCATCCTTACACAACTGCAGAAAATAGCAGCCAGTTGAAATTAAAACTCTTATTTCTCCCTCCCTGCAGAGTGGATATGATAGCAGTGTATTCGACACACACTGAGGGAAACTGAATGCAACTTGATGTCATAAAAGCGGGATTACATGTAGCAGCTTTCGAAAAGTCATTGCTTAATATTCCTTCTGTTTCCTTACCACAGATTTAACTACTGATTTAATCCCAGAGAAAACAAATTGTTATTCTTTCTTTTCTCTCATAACAATATAAAAAATATTTTTTGCCACATTACTTCCATGTATGGAAACGAAAAAAATACCAAAAACCTACTTTTGTTTTGTCAAATTCTTCTGAAGAAAAATAAATAGGTTGTCATCTTATCTGATTTACATGGACAAACAACACCCGCTGACATTATGCTACAAAAAACATACTTCTTGTGAGTCGAGTTCATTTCAGGGCCGTGGATAGAGCTCCCGGCCTGACTGGCAGCTGTCCACGGTCGTGGCTGGAATGCAGAGTGCGTCCCTGGGGTCAGGAGTGATCAAGGACCGTGGGATGATGGGTGTTTTGGATTAAGAGGCGGGGTCACGGGGTCACGAGGGCTTTCTGGCCCTGCGAGGTGACAAGGGGGTGGAGTCACGCTGTGAGCGCTGCTTGTTCCCACTGTACAGAGAGGAGATGGAGGCATTGGTGGGGGCCTGCTGTTGTGGCAGCGCGCGGCGAGGATACAGTGGGCCCCCCCTGAGCAGCACGACGTCACGCACGGCGCCACGGAAAGGCTTACTGACGAAACAGTAGAGGAAGAAGTTGACAGCGGTGTTGAGCATGGCCAGCATGTTGGACAGGTCGTAGGCCAAGTGGACCCGCCAGTCTCTGTGAACTGAGGACACGTACAGGTGGTAGATGACCACGATTGTCCTGGGGGCCCACAGCACAGAGAACACAGAGGTGATGGCCAGCAGCATGGCTGTGGTTTTCCCAAGTCGCCGTGGAGGTGCCGACTTTGGCCCGCACTCCTCCTGGCAACGCTGCTGCCTCTGCCTCACCCTCAACGTCTGAATTATCAAAGAGTTCAGCACCAAGAAGATGCTGCAGGGCAGGAAGTAGATGATGGTTACATGTGTCCATATGAGGACGGTGTCCAGCGCCGTGGGCGGGTGGCTGTTCCTCCACATGTCCGACCACCAGAAGAAAGGCACGCCTGACGCCAGCGACAACATCAGGACCACTGCGATGATCTTCCTGGCCCGTGCCGGATAGCTGATCTGGCGGTGGAGGAGAGGGTGGCACAGTGCCACGTAACGGTCCACGGTGAGGGGTACGGTGGACCAGATTGAGGCGTGGTTGGCGGCGAACTCTGCAGCGCTGACAGAGTGCAGCAGGAGTGCAGGGACATCACGGTGAAAGACCGCCGTCTCCAGCAGGAAGCCGACGAAGATGATGAATAGCTGAGAAAGGATGTCCGAGCCCGTCACTGCCAAGAGGTAGTAGTACAGAGCCTTCTTAGTGCGGGACGCCAGTCTGGACAAGGCCACCGCCGTCAGGATGTTCACTGAGAGAAAGAAATGAAATTATTGTATTAGGTTCTACTTCCATGATATTTAGCTGCATGAAAACATCTGGGAAATGAGGCTGTTCACATACGTAAGGACTGAGAAGAAGTTCCAGGCTATAGATAATATATGTTATAAAAAAATATAATAAATACTTTTATTTTGTAGTCTTTCAGACCGATGTTCTGTTGTTGGATAATCTCAATCAAATACAGTTAATTAAAAGTCAAACGTAAAGCACTACTCTGCTAAGGTAGGCTAGGCTAGCTTTAGCAGGAGTACGCCACTTCTTCAGAACTTCATAATGACTGGATTTTTACCTACTGCCTTATTCATGTGGCATAACTACTATCAAGTTTGGTTATTTAGCAAGATGCCAATTAAGCAAAATTTATATCTTCAAAATTAAAGTGCAGTAATTGTTTCGCTTGTTTTGTTACAATGTATATACATGTTACTTTGTTGAGCTGCTTACACTGAAATCCTTAATTTCTTTGGCAAAATATTTTGGTCATGTTGTCTTTGGTAAAAAGACTGGATGAAGAAATCTTCCTTTGAAAGGCTGAAGTGTAAAAACTATGCATCCACAGCAGTGTAAGCTACAAACCATTGATTTGTCTCCCTGCTGCTAATACAGTATCGCCTCTGTACGATTTACAGTATCTGCGTGCTTTTTTTTCCTTATCAACAGCAGGGTATTTTCACTGCAACTATTTGGACACCACCACCCGCCTAAGACTCCTTCAGTCATACAGATGTTGACTCTGGCACTCTGGCCTTTATATTTATTTCCCTTTGGGGACAATTACACGATGTGACCTGGAGGTCATCTGGATACTCTGTTAACACGTCCGCTTGTTTTGAGCAGGGCTCTGCGTAAATCCCTGATGGGTCAATAATAATTTGCTGCCATCGACTTTTAGACGAAGCACAGTAATCAGAACAATGGTGGTGTGAAGACTTTTAATCAAAGTGACAGTTATTTCCTCTTCCTGGATTATTGAGGTAATACATTTTTTGCAGATGTCGGAGACAGGTGGCTGGATGGATTGATAAATACAAATAAACACTAACTGATTATTAGATCATTAATTTAATTATTGTAACCTGTGAAAAGAGCAATCAGTGCTTGGTTCTGTGCTGCAGCAGTATATTATCTCCCTGGTCCATTAAAGCAACAGTAATGTACCTCTAACTCACTTGACTATTGATTTCTTCTGTCGTGTGCAGTTCCCACTTCTGTTATAAATAGATATCAGAGATTTAAAGAGTGCTCTGTTTACGCATTGACTGTGGGTCACTGCAAATCCATCTAATGAAATGATGCAGCTCATTTTCTGGCCTTCGTGGTTCAGTTGACCTAATTTACAAAAGAATTTTATTTCTTACCATTTATCTTGTTTTTAGGTACCCACCATCGTTACCACATCAAAAGTTGGAGTCAGCTGATAATTTAACTACATGACAACATGATGGCGCACCTGGTACTCCCACGCAGAGTAGAATGCTGTAGTAGATGACAGGGATGAAACCCAGCACACATTTGGACTTCTGCAGCTCCTCAGGTTTCAGGCCCAGCTCCTGGCGGCCGGACGCTGTCACATTGGGCCAGTCGATCATGACCTTGGCGCTTCCCCTGGAGAATACGGTAGAGACAAGAGTAATGCTTTCAGCACTCAGTCAGAGTTTCAACTAAGAAAGGAAATCTGATGCCTGTTGGATTTAAAATGTGTCTGCTGATATTCTATACTTTTCATATTGTCAACAAATCCCATGAAAAGACTAAAACCAAATCCTGATATCTTCTTCCTCTGAGCCATAGAGCGCCACTGTTGTTCAAAAACCATTAAAAACCCATCAGTGAGTCACACTGTTGCTCTGGGTGACATGTTCCTTCATCACCATGAACACACAATGTAGTTTATTTTGACTCCAACACACGCCATCCTGCTGCCCCAAATACTCACTGGAGCACCAAATGTAGATTAATCCGCCGCGGAAAATAGTCCTCATCTTATGCACCATTTCCTACTGTTTGAGTAACGTTGATAAAAACACTACAGTGACCAGCTGCTTTAGGAAATTAATGAACAAAAAAACTATGCATTTGTGACTTGTTTTCAAAGATATTCATTGGGAACAAATGGGTATTTGAGTATTTGCCAGAAAGTATTGAGAGCTGGTTTTGAATGAAAGCTGCTGTGTAATACTAAAAATGGATTTCAGTTCAATTCAGTTTGGCTTAAGCAGATACATTTTTAAGGCTTGAAATTAAAATTTTTTGTGCTCAGAGGAAACATCTTTTATTTAAACAGCCTGAAAGGAATCAATTCATCAAAAATTAAAATGCATAATTTTTCAACTGAAACTCAGTCTAATTAAATTCCTTTTGGTGGATTTGAAGTTGGGTCTGCAACCAATGATTATTTTCATTATCAATTAAACTGACAATAATTGTCTTGATTGATCATTTGATCTATAAAACATCAAGAAAAGGTGAAAAATGCCCATCACAATTTCCTCAAACTTGTCAATTTTCTGTTCTGTTGGGCCATTTTTGGTTGAAAAACTACTTAAGCGATTAATTGACTGTGATTAATTTTAGATCTAGTTTGTAGCTCCACAGGTCAAGGAGGCTAACTTATTCAGTAGCAGGGAAATCTAGTACATCTGGTATGATATTTCATTTGCATAAATAAAATAATAAAAACAAATTAATTATAATCTTATTTTTACAAATAATTTGGTTTGCTGAGGTCAGGAAGGAAATTATCACTTTACCATCTTGCTGATATGATATGTATGAATATATCAATCTGATATGATATCAGGTTTTCAACAAATGATCATTTGCAGACGATGATGTATCTTACATCAGAGTAATGTCAGGTAAATGATGTTTGCTCAGTCAAACTGCTGTTTTCCAGAAACAGAAAGTGGGTGGATCCACACAGTTTGGACTCAGTCAATTAAACTTCAGGTTGACAACAACAGATGGGCCAAGGCGATGACCTCGTCGCCCTCCACCCTCCCCTGAGTCATTATCACCCTGTCTCCCCATCTAACCTTTTCACCTGTGTGCCATCCATCCTGTTTTTCTCTGTCTGTCTCTCCTCTGCCTGCTCTCTTAATTTGGTTCACTCATCCATGAAGCCATATTTGGACTGCGTTATCTCCCAAGCTTTCAGTCACAAACCATTTGGAGATGCTCGGCCAACGTAAACATCATCATGAAGCCACAATCACCCCATCAGCGAATCTAGCCTCGCGATGTGAGCGAGGCAATCATTACCACTAACAGTTTGTCATATTTAATTACCGACATTGTAAAAGCTATCTATGTGCCAAAACCCCGTGTGTGCATTATACGACTGGCACATTTTACGACCTGTAGCAGGAATGTGATCATAAAATAGAGGCGCATCAAATATCTCCCTGCTCAGCTCAACACATTAAACTGGACAGAAGAGGAAGAACTGAAAAGCAATAATGAGGATCAATGGTGTAATTCAGTATAGGACAGAAAGAGTAGAGCTGTGTATGATGATGCATTTTGGTGACTGGGCGTCTGAATTCTCAGGTCTAAAACATCTTGTGTTTTAAGAGAGACAGAAGTGAAAGAGGATCAGCGCCTGACAGTGAGATGATGAATTGTGGTCGTCTTGGACAGAGTTGGCAGACAGGATCGAGAGATTTGTCACTGGAGATGAACATGTTTGATTCACAGCATCTAAAATTGGCTCCTTGATTGACGTCATGAGTCAAAGGTGACTGAAGCGCTCTGTGTGCTATCTTACCTATGTCTCATTTCATCTTCAGTCTTAAAACGATTTGGATATTGCTAATTTCAATCTTTTATCTGATGTTTTTTTATATTGTATTACACATGGGCACATTTTGTTCTAATAAAAAAAAAACTTGTTTAAACGTTTTTCCAAAAAATTGTCCATTTATGTTCTGGAGCTTTCCATCATATCACTTAATGATAATCTTCTTCAGCAGATGAAGTTCTTCCAGTTCTCATTAAACTGTAGGTGCTCAATTTTCCAGTTTTCTGAGTAATTCAAGAACCTTTTTGTTCATGTTGATTTAAATTTGAACTTAATATTTTATTCTTAACCATGGAAACAGCAGCTAAGGGAAATAATAAAGATTTTTTTATGTTTCAGTTTTAAGCCAACAAGGACAACAAAAATGTCATTTAAATGCTCAGAATAAAATGAGAATTTTAATGTCGGCATCTCCATGACAACTGGACATCAATTGAAAGCTCTAGAACAGCTACTGAATGGATATTTGTTAAGATTATTTTGTCAGGTATTAAAAGTAAAACTAGTATTTTATACACCAAATAATACTAATGCTTTCATCTGTTTAAATTGGAGGATGCCAGATTATGTGTTGTAGTCTGACAAAATGCCGTCATACTTTATGTTGAATTCATTTGCTCTACATCTGATGTATTTGTTTTCATTGTTGTGATAAGAGTTTTTTTTTTTTTTTTATTGCTCCCAGTGTTTTGGCACCAAGACTATATCTTGGCTGTAAATGAAAGGACACGCCTTGAGGAAATGTTCGCTGAATGATGTGATTCTGCTGCTCATTGGTCACTTTGTTTATCAACAAAAACATTCTCATATTTCACTCTTTGTTATGTAACAGCGTCCCATGTGCTGAGATAGGATGTCCTATTCAGTATTAATAGGGGTTCAACTCCCATAGGATACTGTACAATCATTCTTACAGTGTGTGACCTCAGAGAAGGACACACCTCTTTCCCTCTGTTTGCTACAGCACTGCAGTGTTGGAAATGATGAAATGAGCATAACTTGTGAGCTTGCAGTGTGAAAACAGGATAAAAGGTGTTTAACCCAAAGAAAGATGATTTTCATTAACAATATTTTAATTCTTTTTATTTTCTCTATTAATTGATAGTTTGGTCTGTAAATTTTCCAGAGACATCAGTCTAAAACACAAAAATGAAATTAAACCTTGTTTTCAGTACGATGTATAGTCAGTACTATACTACAAAATACATTTAATTCTGTAATGATCTCTCTAAATAGTAGTTTTTATTGTCAGTTTTTGAGTCGGCCATTAAAATGACCTTCACATGTATGACGGATTCACAGAAAACCATGCATGTAGACGTTTAATAAATATTTGCTGTAGTTTTAAATTATACTTGCTTTTACCACCAGTCCCCACAGGTGCCGCCAAATCAACCACGACTTAAATCTTAAAGGAGCTATATGTAAGATTTTGCTATGACTACATAGCTAATGTTAGCATTAACAGCTGTTTACTTACCAGTCTAGAAGAAACGTTACGAGTTCAGCATCAAACTTCATTCCTTTACTTGCCAAGAACTGTCTCCAACCCTTTTGTTTTGATTATATTTCACTTCTCTTCTTCTTCTGAAGTTAGCATGTTAGCTAGCCTCGGCCTGGTTGGCCTGTCTTGTCACTTTCCAATACCGAGTCACTGTAGCGTCCAGTTTTCCCCGAAGAAGTAGCTGCTTAAAGGACGTATTATAACCTCTTGTTTTGTAAATGATGGTTGAAGCTCTTGGCAAGACTGGTAACTAAACAGCAGCTGCAATGCTAACGTTGGCTATGTAGCAATAGCACAACTTACACATCGCTCCGTTAAGGATTATAACTTCAAAAATTTTATTGATTATCAGAATTATCCTGTTTTATTTTGTAGAACCTGTTGCATTATCAGCTGCTAAAAGCAACGCTGCAGCAATTATATAAGCAAATGGGACCTTGATCTTTAGACTACAGTTAAACTTGAGCATCAACGCTGCAGACACACAGAAAACAAGGCAACATTGCTACTGGAGGCCTGCAAGGACGACTTTGTCTTATCTGCTGAGACACCTGATCTGTTTCCTCCTGAGCCTCGTCTCAGGACCAGCAGTGAGAAAGATGATCATTATGAATTAGAAGGTTGTAAGGTTGCTAGCAGAACACGGCACCAGGGACAAGTAACTACAATCAATATCCCAGCAGCCACTTCTTTGAGGTCTTTTTTAATCCTTAGGGCAGCAAATGAAACCTTGAATCTTGGAGAGCTCTTTGTCCCCTCACACTTTCTTCTCTGGGAAATTTCCTGTGAAGACTTATCGTCACGTTCGGTCCCTCGGGTGCTGCAGATTCTGGAGGTGGAAATGGAGCTGTTCTCACTTCAGAGGTGTTTTATCAATCCACTCTCAGACAATTACAGTCTCTCTACACTGGGGAAATTAAACATATTGACATGGAAACAAAGTAGGTTGATTATTCTGCTCCTGTCAAGTGTCAGCAGACAGTGTCCTCAGAGGAAGCAGCCCTACAGCTGAGCAACTACAGTCCGAAGATCAGAGGCCGAGGGATGTTTCTGATTAAGACTCCACTCTGGAACGTCTTCCCAGGGTTGGGATGCAGCTGGAGGCTACAGGACTTGGCTCTGCAGGGGGCTCAGTGCCCAGGAAGCTGAACTGAACTCTATCTGTGCTCCACTGAGCCCTCTTAATTATTCATCAAGACACAGAGCACCTGAAACAACAGTGCTGGGAGATAAAGGGTGCTGCCAGCATATCTGTACAGCAAACATTGCTGCTTCTCATGAGAGCGACGAGGATGCATTTTGGTGTTTGGAGGGAAAGTGCCGGAGAACAGCACGGAGAAGAAATGTCCTCATCGTGCTGCTGTGCAAGGTTCATTCATGAGGCCGACATCCCGACCTGTGGTCAGTGTTGTTAGGAAGACAGAATCCAGGAGTGCAGTTTGGCAGCAGAAATTACAGGCTAATATAACGACAGATGTCTCCTCCTCAGAAGATTTAGGAGGTGAAATAACACAAAAACACTGCAAGTAAATTCTATAAATCTAAAGGCTCTGAGTTCAGTGCGATGTCAATTATGAAACAATTGGATGTGATAAAATCCAGACTCTCTCCCTGCTTCCTTAAATAACTTTTATAATAAGACTGTACCTCGCACGAACATCTGAAGTCAGTGATGTATAACAGTGCCGATTGCACAAGAAACAGAAACATTTCATGGTTTTACAGCAGAGCAGCTCAGACACTTGTACATAAACAGCGGATGGAGAGAGTTTTCTTTGACTTTGTTTGTCCTTGTATGGTTAGTCTCACCGTCTTCGCTCTTACCTTCACATCCAGCTCTCACAGCGACTCTCCACCTGGGATACAGCCTGTCGTCCCCCCCTCCAGAGGCTTCTACCGCGTCCCCGACATCGCTGCTGGACACACACTGAGGAGATGTGGAGGAGGAGGGAAGAGGAGAAGTGGAGTCCAGGCAGCTGGTACATCACTGCAAGGAGTGAGCAGAGGGAGAGGGGAGAAATGAGGCAGAGGGGAGTGAAAATGTGGGGAGGGAGGGAGGGAGGGAGGGGTGAGAGAGACAGGGAGAGAGAGAGAGAGGGAGAGAGAGACGTTTGGATGGAAAGAGGTGAATGAAAAAGAGAGAGATGAGGAAAAGAGGGCAGAGAGAAATACAGGAAAACCCGATGGAAAACCACATAAAGTCTGACAGGGGGATAAAAAGCGGTGCAGTGTCTTGGGCTGAGTTCCAGTTCCTTAATGCAGAGGCATCAAACAGGGATTTAAGTGTGTTCACGCTGGAAAAGTGACAAAATAAATATACACAAAGCTGTGTCCAAATTCCACTCTACACACCAACAGTATAACCTACATATGGAGTCATTGTTATTGTGATGCACTTAGAGTAGAAGAAGTATGTACTTCTGTGTTGTAGACACAGATAATGATACAACTGTCAAAGCTGCAATTTGATTAATGACTAATGCAACTTTAAAATGTCATTTGAGCTTCATGAAGAAAATGCAAAATGTTTTTTCCAACCATTTTACTCAATCTGTGTGTGTGTGTGTGTGTGTGTGTGTGCGCGTGCGAACACACACGTGCACACTCAAAAGAGAAGAAAAACAAGTCTGCAGCCATGCTAGTAGCTTTGTGAGGCTAACCTTAACATGCTCACAACGAAAATGGTAACATTCTGATGTTTAGCAGGTAGCCTTTAATATTTACTATGTTGTCATCTTAGTTTAGTGTGTTAGCATGCTAATATTTACTTATTAGCATTACAGATAAATGCAGATGAGACTTATGGAAATATCATTAGTTCTGCAGGTGTTTGGCCATAAACCAAATTACTGGGCAAATTAAAAGTTTGACCTGATGATGGTGCTAGATGAAAAGTCGTGTTAACCAAGGTGATTACACTTCATCCTGATGGGGAAGTGAACGTCATGGCAAAAACCATAAATGGTGGCGCCAGAGGAGAAGTCACAGGATCGGCAGAGTCAGAATACATCCTCTGGGGACCATGGAGATCTGGACCAAACTCAATGGCACCAATTCAGTCCGGTCAAAAGTGGTGAACCAACTGACTGACTGATCCTTACAGCTGTGTAGCTAGTATGGCTAAAAATGTAGGACTGGAAATAGTCAATATGTAGATGAGAAAATGAACACTTGATTTATGAGTCTGCTGGTGATGGACACTGTTGACCCATAGATGGAGGAGGATGAGCCAATTAATGCCAGAAAACTGAAGAAAATGTTGGAAAAAAGGTTCCTGCTTTATTGACATTTGATGGCACAAGCTCTGTCACAATATTCATCCAGTCTATTTATAATTAATATTAATGTATTGTGTTTTTATGTACACTGTCTTATGCACAAAACATAATCATCAATCAATAAATGAAGTTCAACAATAATTAGCCAATTTTACAGGAATACATAACACAGTATTTAGCATGGAAGTGGGACAGAGTGTACCGGCGTCTGCACCAGGTTAGCTGAAGTCTCAGAGGATTAAACACACACACACTCACACTCACACACACACACACATAAACACACACACACACACACACACACACACACACACACACACACACTTTATTGTCACACAAAAACTGACGCTACCCTGTGGGGACCACAGGGAGGTGCATCTCTGTAATGTGAGACATTTATGCATCTACAACTTGATTAATACTGGTCCACACACACAGACACACACACACACACACACACACACACACACTAACAACAGGCAGGGACCAAAGAGTAATGACACCCAGCAGCAGCTTATTAATTAGATGTTTATATTGATAAGAGCATTTGAAACAAACACAGGAGTGAGTGGAATCACTGAGATCAGTGGATCTGAGGGGAGATGAATGTGTCCTTAATTTAGCTAAACCCTTTGAGAAAGCTCGTCTCACGGCTGCAAGTTGTTGATGATAGCAAAGCTCCAAAGCAAACAGTGCATTAAATGAGCAGATGTGAGGAACTAATTCATCCATCAGTTCGGTCTGTTGACAAACCATTTGCAAAACCTGAGGCCTACGTGAGCTCGCTTTGACCCCCGTCTGGCACCCGTCACCCTGCAGCTGCAGATCAAGTTATGTGCTTATATCTGACATGCAGTGTTAGACCTTTGACCTTACACTGCAGGGGGGGAGTACACTGATGCAAATAATGAACCGATCATACACAGACGTGACTCTTTATTGATCAGACCTATTAGATGGGAGGGTGATGATGCAGAGGGAATAAATATGAGGGGTTAAACCTAATGTTTGCTGGAGGATTGTGATGCAGTACAAATAATAATATGGTTTAAAATGGGCAGACGCTGCTGGAGTAAGAGCGCCAAGCTTTCTCTGCTCATGCCCCTTTTTTCTGAGTTATTAAAATGACATAAGAAGAGCCCATTAAAAGTCTGGTACTCTACGATTTGTTTCCTGGTTGAGGTCATTTCAGAACATTTTTTATGGCTCCATCAATACACAGCAGTACTGTACATCTACTCTGACAGCTCTGGGTCAAATGTTCTGGAACAGGATCAAAACTGAAAACTTCTATTTCTAAACCAAGTAAATGGTGAAGTGAGCAAAGATGACACAGTGGCCCCAGTGTTAAAGGAAAAGTCTGATGATTTTCTATATTTCATCTTTCATATTGTCCTGAAAAGTCAAAAACAAACAACGTGTGTAAATCCGATGTGTCTTATTCCTCTTTGCCATGGAGCTCCATGTTGTGTTTTAATCTGCCACTGAAAATAGTTCCCGACAAAAGCACCATTTTCTTCTGTCTGAGTTACATTTTATAAAAACAACTATCACCAGCTGTTTTAGGAAATTACTGAGGGTTTTTAAATGTCTATTTTTTCCTCTTCTTCTGTGTTTTATTTGAAGTGTTGATCCATAAGGAGATATATTTGTGGTTTTAAGAACCAAAAACCATCTCAATGTAGTTTCACATCTCCTCTCTCAGGCTTCTCTCTGGAGCTCTAGTAACAGGTCGGGGAGCCAATCAGAAGAGAGGAGGCTCTGAGCCTCTCTTCTGATTGGCTGACTGTTTCCTGAGTGATCAATAAAAATATAGCAGATATCAGGTAAACACTCAGAGAAATCGAATCCCGCAAGGTTGGATGGTGGGTCCAGGTGGACAGGGCTTGGGGTGTGGCTGAGAGTGGTAGCTGCTTTGTTGTGACATCACAAAGTTCCAGAAGTCTTGACGGCTGGTTTTAAGGCTCAGTTTCTGAATACAGGCTGTGTGCATTTCTCTGTGGACTGAGGCTTTGATGCTTTCACAGTGTTAATATAGAACCTAGACCTGATCTATAATCAAACAACACATGGACATCTACCTTTAGACTATATGGACCTTTAAAAACACACGCCTAACTACCACCTACTCTTCTTGATCTCCTTGCACTTTGGATAACAGTGTCTGTCATTGAGTCAATGTAAAAAATGAAACAAAACACTTGCGAGTCATTTTTAAAGATTTATGTCATACAGTTACATCATGTGGCGGAGAGCCAGAGGAGGTCAGAGCAGGAAAGTCAGACAGAAAACACATTGTTGGTTTTGGACTTTTCATGGGATTTGTTGATAACAAGAAAAATATAGAAACACCAGCCACAGCTTTGACATTAGTGATGCTATTTACATGTTATGAGATATTTGTGAAGCTCACTTATGAGGGTTTACATGCTCCTGTGCAGGCTAATTAAAAATTAGTTTAAAAGTTAAACATTTTTCACCTGATATAGTTTTTCAACCTGTCAAATTACGACTCTGCAGAACGGCCAGAAAACTCCAGGCATCAGATAAATATTAACAGAAGAAAATCTCCCAAAATGGAAATAACATTACCTCAAATATGTACTGAACTTGGGTAAATGTACTTCCTGCCTCTGATTACATAACTGTGGATTTACACAAGTAGGTCATATTCAATATATAATGACCATCTCTGTAGACGACGTATAACTCATGGATCCAATTTCACGCCTGCGGAGTCAGTTGGCACCTTAGATTTATATTCAGCCTCCACCAGCCAACGTTCAGCTCATCTGCCACTAAAAGACAAACCTTCCTCTGCAGCTGGAGCTGGAGCTGGAGACAGGGAAAAACAGCGAGAGGAAGAAGCTAATGGAGCCAGTGAGATAAACTGATGCTGAGGCAGGTCACCTCAGTCTGGTTCCCTGCCAAAACCCCAGCTCTCCAAACTGTCTCTGTGCAGCTTTCAAGCAACAAGACTCTGAGCGGCAGTAACATGAGCAGCTCTCCAGACAAACACTGTCATCTGACCTCCGCTGCGACACACACTCATCACCACTCTGTTTGGCAGCCAAATCTGTGAATCTTTGATTTAGACTTTTTTTGTGTAAAGTCTGCACATATGTGAAAACAGGGGTTTTGTTCCTTCGGTGTGTAAATAAAGTTTGAAACATAGATTTATGTTTTTGTTGTATTTCCTGTTTTCTTGAGCTGTTTATTGCCCAGAATTCACTGCTTCTAATGCACATGACAATAAACTTCAAAATTAAATGTAGAGATGAATATCAATCACAACCTCACGGGGCTGTTAGACCGGTCATAGCTTGCTCTAATCGCAGCAGGTGAAATCTCTTTGGGTTAACTGATATTACATTTCAATGCGATTAATGTAATAAAACCAACATGATCTACTGCATCTGTATAAAATAATTAATTCTCAACAATCAGTGCGCAGAAGAACAAAGGAACTGTAACAACATCTGTAAAAGAGGGAGGAGGGAAAAGGTTCTGGATTATAATAGTCTATTATGATATTATCTATTTTTAGATTTTTAAGTTCAAGAAATGAAAAATCTTTGGTAACTTTTTTGCCTCTGAGAAGTGAAATAATGCAGGGAAGCTGTGAAACATCAAACGGTGGCTGCAAGAGATGACTCTTTGTCTTGAATTACAAAAGTTGTTTTACCGAAAAAAGAGAATTTGTCACACTAGTTAAATTCTTTTGAAAATCTAAAATGATTGAATGGCTGCTCTTTGATGCGACCTGTAGGCTTTTGACTTTCTTGTGTATTGTGATGTGCATGTATGCATTGTTTTTCTCATTTGCTTCAACTGGTAAAAATGTGATTGTTGCTTCATTATTTTGATAATGCCAGTGAAGATGCCTTGTGCCTTCTTTTAACCTCTCAATCTACTACTACTACCTGACTAAAAGGGTTACTTTTACTTTTATTTTTATTTTACACATGAAATTCAGTTCACTTAGTGAAAACAGTTGTGTAAAGTCTTCGGTGGGTTTAGATGAGTTTTACCAAGTCTTTGAAAATATAGAATATATCGTAAAAAAAATAAATGAATAAATAAATTGTAGCTTGGAAAACTAGTGGCACTGAGTTTTAAAGATATTTATGATTTCCAGGAAAGAAGGGTCTGCTGAAAGAAGCCATCAAGTTGCATTATGCATGGGAGGAGTAGGATTCACTGTTTTTGAAACTTGACCAATAATAGAGACTAGAAGTGATTATTCTTTCCTTTAAATCTGTCTCACATAAGTTCCCCAAATTTATGGAAATGTAACACTGGATCATTATGGTATACCACTTTGTTTTCCTCCTGATGTCATTCTTTCCTTCTTTTTCCCTCCTTTTCTTAATATTCTGTAATTGTCTTATAGATTTCCTGTTATGTCCATTTATTTAATATGTTATTTTGTGCTTAACAACATGTTTTCAAAGCGAGAAAGCCTCAGAGTACAGTATCATTTGTTTTCATCTGCAATGAGACCGTGATTTAAATGCTGTTTATCACTTGAATCTTGGCCACCAATGAGACGCAGCTTGTCTGCCCTCTAGTGCACATAACCTGTAAATACAGTAAGTCATACCCCCAAATTACAAAATACATATATTCTTATTGGTTGCATCTTGTCAGGCTGATAGATTTGGTTTCATATGCCCCCCCCCGGGTGAAAGTAGGTCCACTGACAATGGATGACAGCAAGGTTAGTGGATTATCCATGGTTACAAGATCATTTATTCTGTGAACAGAAAAAATAAAATATCATTAACTTCAGTTTATTGTACGAGGAGAGGAGGCAGAAATCTCAGACACATATAGGACTAGAAACTACAAGAGCTGAAGGAGCAAATATGTCTTTTCTGTTATTAAAACAAAGCAGATCTAAAAGGACGTAAGGATCAGAAGTTAAAAACCAGGAACATTCTCATCAACAAAACAACTCTTGCTGCCACAAACTGTGACTGTCAGTCAAATGTTTTCTGGTTTGTTGAGGAAAACTTTAAGAAAACCGTTTTTAACTTTTTTTTTGCAGAAAAACAAAAATGAATGAAACATTTTTGCACAAGCACGTTTCAGAGCGCTGTTCCTCTCTACCCAAAAGTCAGACCGGGATAGAGGAACTCATCATCGATCACCAGGCCGGGGTCAACGACAGTGACATGACGCCGCGACACACATCCCAAACACAAACAGCGCTGATGTCATGATTTCACTTCTGTGGCTTTGGCACCGACGCTTTCTCCTGAACAGAGCTTGAATTCTGGTTCATGATTGTTATTCATCTTTTTAACAGGATTTTTGTCAGAATCATTAAGAGAGAAATATCGATCGTATAACTTACCCCCTCAACCCCCAACCCCCACCCCTAACCCCCACCCCACCCCACCCCGATGAAGCGTGCTGTGGCCTGGAGCTGCGAATAAATTGCTTGTGTTGCTGTGTCACGCACATGTGCTGAACTGGGTGAACACACTGACACACATAACTGCATGTGGAGTCTAAACTGAATTCTTAACACTGGTGCTTCAGATCTGACAGATGTCTCTGATTGGAACAGCTGAAAGGAGCCAAATAAAGTAAAATAATAAAATAAACCTGCAGTTTGATCAAATAACTGAGTTTTTACTCAAACAGCTGTTTCACCCCCCCCCCAGTCTCCCACAGCTGTCTGAGGGCCTCCTCACCGAATCAATGTCACACAACAGCCGTTGATACCCAAGGATAGGAAAGTCAGAATCAAAGTGGTAGCCATGGAAACAACCCAGGCCTGTTTCCACCCACCGATCGATGAAGTTCTGTGATTGTGTAGCGTGTGTGTGTGTGTGTGTGTGTGTGCGTGTGTGTGCAGAGGAGAGGAGAGGAGAACCCCCTGTCCCACATTCACACAGACACCTTTGTCCTCCGCAGCCGAGCAGACAGACGCAGAGAGAAGAAGAAGAAGACGACTGAGAAGAAGATGGTGAAACGCGCTGTTCAGGTGCATGCTGGGATGCTGTTAGTGGCCCTCTGTCTTCTGCTGGGGGCAGCTGCTGCAGGTGAGTTCAGTGTTCAGGGTGATTTGTAGTCTGATCCTCGCGTCTGAGAGAAAGGATGCCTCTTTTCTGTTTGATGATTCTGTTTTTACGCCAGAGGCAGAAAGTGGAAATGAGCATTTGATGTGGCTTTTAAAGTGATAATAGTAATTATGGAGGGATTTCTCCTCATGGGAATAAATGCTTCACTTAGTTCAGCTTAGTTTAGTTGTGTATTTAAAGGTCTGGTTCACTTTTTAACAAAATAATAGGAGAAGGGACTCTGTTATGTTATTATTAGGGCAGGGAGGAGGGCAGATCATTTTTTTGTCACCCTGGATTTATATTTTGTTTCAGCCACACCAATATAGCTGCAAGGATGTAACTTTAAAGTCTGTGTGTCTGCGTTATTAAATGTCCATTATATCAGCAAAACGTCAACTTTAAAAAGACAGAGCGGCTGAAATATTCTCTATGTTTCTCATGATTCTCTTCCAATGCGCATTCAGGAGCTACATTATTGTTGCATTAACATATTAAGTCCAAATGGCTTGTAGCAGTTAGCTGTTGAATTACTATGATGTGTTTTTTCGGGGGATGATATTGTTATTTTCCAAAGAAAATAATTCTAATAATTCTGTGGAGAGTGAAACTTAAGATTCACCCGTCCCCATTCATGATTTGTTACAGTCTGTAACAAGGTCCTTATTCCACGGTGAAATCTATAACTTCAGGTCCATTAAGATGTTGAAATGAAATGTTAGGTCTTACTTTCTTTCTTCTCAAAATCACAACTTTTTTTTTTTTTTATGTTTCAACTTCATTCTCAGATTCTCAATCTTCTTTCTTTCTTCTGTAATTTGTGTCAGTCAGTTCTTTAATATTTTCCTTTAGACTCTCAACCTTCATAAAACCAAACAACCAGAGAAAGGAGATCTCCGACTGACCACACTAACTATACAAGCTGAAGCTAATAAAAAAAAATCCTCCTTTCATGGTGGTTATAATATTTTGTGGTCATTTTGGAGGATGTAGTTTTTGGTGCCGTTGATTTGCATTACATTACACTGACAGGTGTTTCTATGATCTTTATCCACAACAGTTATACCAGCGTGGAAACACCCCCTCCTCCTCAGGATGACTGTAAAGTCAAATCAACTCCTCTAAAACAGTTTCAACTAAAACTGAACATTATAACCTTCCTGGATGTGAGATTCATTATTAACTGACTATATGTGAACACACTGAACCAGAAACTGTCCTTTAGTCCAGGCTGTGATTTAAAGGGAACATCAGAGGCCACAGCTGAGTTCACTCTGTGCTCTGTTTTTATCAGAGGGGGGGGGGAGGAAGTGCCTCATATTTATCAAGACTGAGACAGAGGAAGCACATTAAATTTGATCATATGAATCCAGGCTCAGCAGCAGCCCAGCAGTAACAGTTACAGTAACAGTAGGAGTGAACCCTGCAGGGTGGAGGAGGGGGTCGGCGGCGGCGGCGGCGGTGGTGGTGTGCTACAAAGCTTTAATTAAACGTGACCCACGATCCCTCATTATCCAGACGACCAGAGCAGCTGGACTGATCAATGACATGGATTAGGATGATACTGGCCCACAATTTGCCCTAATAAATAACTGACATGCAACTTCTGCACATCCCTCCAAGAAACTCTGCTTTTTCGTTTCGCTTTCAAGTCGTCAAATTGATTTTAAATTGTCTTTTGCAACCTTTTAAATTATGTTTTATTGTATTTTTGTCTATGCAATTAATTGCAAAGTTATTTAGTCCACTCCCTCCACCTTTTCTCCTCCACCAGGCATACTGAAAGTTGACGGTGCCCAGGATGGAGGTGGCAGCGGCGGGGACACCATCAGCCACTCCCTGACCCTGGTGCAACGTTTGGAGGCCCTGCTGGTTCAGGGGAACGGCAGCGACGTGTCGCTGCGGGTGGAGACGCCCAGCGCGGACGAGGTGAAGACCATCCAGGCGCACTCTCTGGTGCTCTCCCTGCAGAGCCCCGTGTTCGAGGAGATGCTGCTGAGCCGCAACGGCAGCACGCTGGTCCTGAAAGAGAGCACCGACTGCGCCGCCGTGTTTGACAAGTTCATCAGGTGAGACGGGAGGAGAGTGTGTGTTCATGTCTATATGAGGCAGGTGTTGTGTGTCCTTGGAGGTCACATCAACCATCAGGGCCTTAGATGATGAACTCTGCCACTGCAGACCTGCAAACAGTCAACAGCAAAAAGGGGAATCATTTATTTTCTCTATAATTCCACCCATAATAACACAGTGACAGAATGTGTGACTATTTTGGTCGAAGTTTTCAAACACTTCCTGTAATAAAACATCTAAAAGCAAAAGTCTTCTCAGATGAGGGTCTGTGGTCTGATTTGTGTCAGTTAATGGTCCATGATGTGAAAAGAGAACCGCTGATTTAAATCATTTAAAGCTGCACCAAATAATATTTTTATATTAACAATGAATCAAATGGCTGTGTAACTTGAAAGGGTTTATTTATAGTGACATTCACAGAGACTCTGCAGCTCTACAAAGTTTTTTTAATCCTCTTTTAGCTCATTGTTTTGGTTTTAAATCCCACAACTTTACTGGTTTGGTTCAGTCTCACTTTGGTTTCCAGCAGCAACAAGCTCTAATAATAAATCCACTGTACACAACCTGCCCAGCACCAAGCAGCAAGCAGCAGAGTGGTAGTGGAGTATTTAGCAGTTAAAGAGGAAAACAGAGGCAAGTAAATATCGGACATATCACAGGGTTGTCTTGTGTCGGCTGGATGTGTAAACAGGCAACTACTTGCTCACATGTTGGCCATAACAACTTATAAGATAATAATGTTTGTTAAGGTCGTGTTTTTCAGCTCGGTGTGAAGTTCTTCTGCCCCCAAGTGGCTGAAAAATAAATCACTGCGGCTTTAAAATAGTGGGTCATATATAATTGGGGACAGAGTTTGAGGCTAATTGGTCAATATACGTATGTAACAGGAAGTAAGTTCAGCAGCCACATGTTGTGCTTCAAATGCTTCTTTGTTCAACCTCCTCTTCCTCTCTCTGCGCAGATATCTGTACTGTGGAGAGATTTCTCTGCGTCTGGATCAGGCCACGCCTTTACACAAGCTGGCAACTAAGTACCAGGTGCTGGGTCTCCAGCAGGGCATCACCCAGTACATGACCCAGAACCTGGCCCGGGACTCCCCCTCAGGCCACGTGGCGGGCTGGTACGAATACGCCCAGCAGGCCGGGGACGCGACTCTGCGGGACAGCTGCCTCCAGTATCTGGCCTGGAACCTGACCTCGGTGCTGCAGAGCGGAGAGTGGGTGACCATCAGCAGCCAGCTGCTCATGTCGCTGCTGCAGCGCTCAGACCTGATCCTGCAGAGCGAGATGGAGCTGTTCTCAGCGCTGGAGGCCTGGATTATTCAGAACGAGCCGGACGGCCTGACGGCAGAGAACGCTCTGAGAGCTGTGCGCTACGCCATGATGCCTCCACGAGACCTCTTCCGCCTGCAGACCCAGTCCACAGTCCTGGCTCGGTATCAGGAGTCAGTGCGCGACCTGCTCTACATGTCCTACCAGTTCCATTCAGCCTCGCCGCTGCACATGGCCAAGTACTTTGATGTGAACTGCAGCCTCTTTATGCCCAGGAACTACCTGTCACCGGTGTGGGGGTCGCCCTGGATCATCAGCAACCCCACGCGTGACGACCGCAGCACCAGCTTCCAGACCCAGCTGGGGCCCAGCGGCCACGACGCCAGCAAGCGGGTCACATGGAACGCCTTGTTCTCACCTCGCTGGTTACCCCTCAGCATGAGGCCCATGTACACAGAGACGGGCGCCATGCAGCCGACCCGGGTGGAGGGAGGGCGCCCACGCATCATCATCACCCCGGCCACGTCCAGCGCCGACTTTGCCGGGGTGAACTTCCAGAAGACGGTGCTGGTGATGGCGGAGCAGCAGGGGAAGGTGGTGGTGAAACACGTCTACAACTTCCACCAGAGCACCGAGGAAAGCGGAGATTTCTTAGCTGAGGCCGACCTGTACCGCCGGACGTCTGAGTACCTCATTGACAGCTCCCTCTTCCTCCACATTGTGGTGAAGCCACTGTACCAGACCCTCATAACCACCAAGAACTGACCCCAAACCTCCCCCCACCCTCCTCCCCGTGTGACCACCTTACCTCACCGCACACAGTCCAACCCTCTGAAGTGACATCATATCACATCATGGGGATGTGGATGTGGATCCTCCTCATGTGTGATGTTTGGATCATTTGTCTCACAACTGCTGTTTTCATTGGGCAACTAACACACCAGAGCATCTGAGAGCTTTGTGTAAAACCACGCCGAGTGTGCGTGTGTCGTGTCTTTTGAAGGATGAGGCTGGTGATATCTGGTGAAAAGACCAAAACCAACAATGAGTTCCTCCTACTCACAAGTATCATGTGTGTATCCACAGCCTGATATATCTGATTCCTCCATGGTTTCCAAAAACTATTAAAAACACATCAGTGAGACACACGGTTGCCATAGGTGACGTGTTCCTTCATCAACATGAACACACGCTGTAGTTCATCTTGATTCAATCTCACATACATTATCCTTTTGCTGTAAGTATTCACTACAGCACCAAATGTGGATCCATCCGCCTCTGAAAATAGTCCCGAGCTAATGCTCTATTTCCTCCTGTTTCAGCGATGTTTTCTAAAAGCTGCAGTAACCAGCTGCCTTAGGAAATCACTCAGCCTTTCTTGAAAGTGAAACTATATATTTGTGAGCTGCTTTTTAATATTCAGAAAACAAACTATTGCATTGATGGTTTTGGTCTTTTCATGTAAAACATAATATCACCAGTCTTCTCCTTGATGCTTGAGGTTGTGTTTCTCTCACGCTGTCTTTGTATTTAGATGTATTTGTAGTTTTTTTTTTTTTTTTTTATATATTGGTGCTATTATACCCCATTTACAATTAAGGGGTCACAGTTGTAAATCAGAACCTTGTAAACATTGTTTGGTTGATTAGGTCAAAACCTTCATTTGGTTGTAAAGTGAACTCTTTTAAGACGTCTTAGTTACACATAACTGTTGTTTCAACAATATTGACTGTAAGTCCACATATTGTTAGGATCTGATGAAAGTCATTACAATGTTAAAAACAGCAGTAATAAGTAACTAAGAGCTCTAAAAGCTTTCACTTTTCAACCAAGTTTAGCGCCGTATGAACCTACAGGTTTAAACCTACATGTCTTTTCAGCTGTAAATCACCACTTCATTGTTTACTGGGCTCCAAACGTTCATCCTGTTGAACTTCAGGTTTCCATTCGGCACATTTTCATTATTTATTTTTACTTTAGTCGTAATTTATTTACAAATCCTGTAAGTCTTGACACCACAGTAGATGGCAATAACTTGTCATTAGTTGTTGTGATTGAAGTTGTTAGATTCACTGTTGCATTAATCAAAGGTAGCTGATAATAAAGATTTTTACTGAAGTTTTGAAACTAAACTGATTGATGAAATTCTCCTGATTATTGTGTTTCATGATTTCACTTCACTGCCAGATGCAGAAATAATTCATTAGCATTCAGGTCTTTTACATTAGTCGAGTCAATATTATTTATACAGGCCAACATTAGTAGTAAAGGTCATGCAGAATGTCTCCTTTCAGTGTGTTAAAATATTATACATGTATTAGGCCTGTACAGGATTATTACAGTTGCACTGACATTAATGCTTTAATTTGAAGTACATTTACTTAAACACTTTACTGAAGTACAATTTTCAGGTACTTGTATGGTCCTGAATATTTCTATTTTCTAATTCTTTATACTTAATTACATTGTACTGAAAATATTGTCCTTTTTACTTCATTACATTAAAATAAAATCCGTAGTTTCAAGTGATTTTATCAATTAAGATTTGACATAGCAAACATTTGATCAGCTTGTAAATAAATAGATAAAATACAAATAAATTATGATGCACTGTTACATATCAAACTAGCCAACTGTACATAAAATATCCCCCACCTTGATCAACTACAATATTAAAATACTGCTTACACGTTAATGCATCAGTAGTAATATTGCAATAATACATAACAATATAACTGTTAAACAGGCCATTCTGTATTTTAATTTGACATTTAAAGTACATTTTACTGTACTTTTAGTGAAGCTTAGGGAGAGCAGGACATTTAATTAACATGAATAAACTGTGTTATTACTACTTTTACTTAAGTAAATGATGTTTAGACTTTTACTACCACTGTTGTTTGCTACTTTAACCCATAATGCATCAGGTTTTATGAGCTGATCATATGTTTTATGTAAAAAATATTAGTAACTAAAGCTGATAAATAAAATAATAGACTAATATTTGCCACTGAAATGCAGCGGAGCGGAAGATCAAATGTAAACACTTCAGTAAAGTCGGTTGCATGTACCTGATTTCCACCAGATGTTAACAAGCTCGCTGCTAATCGCTGTAGCACCTCAACGACTACATTTCCCACCGTCCTTTGCGCTCCCAAGCAGGAAGAACGTTCTCTCGCAGGGGCTCACACTGATCCAAGTTAGGAGCTTTCAGCTGCCAGCCTTGGCCCATCATGTAAGTGCTGCGGAGAATTCTTTGCAGTGCAATTGCAAAATTACCTCTTTTCCCGACGCCAGTGCGGGTTGTGCAATTGTAGCTGCGCTCTTAGCACCGACACGCACGCTCCGGACGCAAAAAGGCTCCAAGTGCATGAAGATCGAGGCTTGTATTTTGCATCTTTGTTGCAAAGGCAAGCCGCTGAAGCTCCAGTGCGAGGGCGATGGAGGGAGGGAGTGAGAAAGAAGGCAAAGTCTTTTGTGCTTCCCCTCCCCCTCATCAAAGCAAAGGGGAAATGTCTCAGCCAAAGGGAGGTAAGAATATGAAACCGATCTGTGCAAAACTACCGACACACAATCACTGCTGCACGGTTTGCAACATGCACCGCTGCAGCTCGAGCTCGGCCGGTGCATTTTAAAGTTCGATGGTTTAGAAGGGTCAGTTGCATTTCCTGTTTGAAGATCTTCCCCTTTGCACAGTTCCTGGTAAGACGATGCTGTGTGTACTCACTCGTATTGACGCTGTTAGCGGGGCACCGACGGGGATGTTGAGCACAGGGCGCCTTCAGTGTAGTCACAAGATAGACAAGGACACTGCAACTCTTTATGATCAACTCTGCACGAGTTGATGCATGGCTCGTGCACACTGCCTAATGGTAAATAATGAAAGCCGTGTGTCGCGTGCAGGGCGGTTTGGTGCAGGAGATGTGACAACCTGCAGCTGTCAGTGGACTCTGAGTTGAAGTGTTTACTGGCTGCAGATTTGTTTCTGCTTATGGGAGAGAAAATGAATTTCTAATAATAGAATAGGTTGAGAGCTTTAAGGTGCTGCTGACTTCTTATATTAAAGCACAAAGTCCCAGTCTGTCAGCTGCTGCTTCTGTCCAGGACACTGGATATGTGTCAAACCCCTGGGTGCCTGTCCACTGATGTGCAGCTTTCCCCCCTCAGCATGCATAGGAAAGCTTGTGTGTCACACTTTGACCCCAACTTTATCAACATGCAGCAACAACAGTGACATCCCTGCAGCCTGAGAGCTCTGAAGTATCATCAGTGAATGCAGCTTGCAAGAAAAGAAAAGAAAAAACAGCTGCAGTGAAAACAGCTCAGGCGTTTTTTCCTCCCCTCACTGTGTTTTCCAAGAAGTCCAAAGTGAGGCTGGTTCATTGCACAACATGCAGAACACACACAAACATGTGCACACACACACACACACACACACACTCAGAGGCTGTGCAGGACCTGAGCAGGTAGGAGAGAGAGAGCCCCTGATGGTCAGAGCCTCGCAGTGTTTATCTGCTACAGTCAATTGTCCTCCCACCTACACACAGGAACCGTCTTGTTGCAGCCAGTTTGTCTTGTGATAAATAATGCTCAGACATTTTTACTTTGTAAATGAATGAGTCGGTTGGGGACTTTCCTCTGAGCAGAGGTGGCTTTCTGTTGTCGTTTCATTGATGTTGTTTGGTGCAGGAAACGGTGCACATGCAGATCTGTTGTCGATTAATCAATAAGTTGATTATTCACTTAATCAAGTTGTTGTCCTGACTTTTTATTGGACTGCAAACATAGAAAATTACTCCTGTCAGTTAAACAAATGGCTCTGTTGAACCTTTGTGAAGCATCAATCTTTACTGACATAATTAGAGCAACAACAATTAGTCAATTAATCAGTGACAGAAAAATATTAGGCAACTGTTTTGATTATCGATAAATCATCAAAGGTGTCCTTCCCCAGTTCCAGTTTGTCATTTGTGAGAATTTGCTGATTTTCTTATGTGATTGTAATTTTATATTTAAAAAGTAGACAATTTGATGACATCACTTTGGGGTTTAGGAAAGTGTGACAGACTTTTTTTCACTGTTTTCAGACATTTTATGGACCAAATGATCAATAAAGGAAATGTGAAAATAAGTGATAATGAAAATAATCATTAATTGCAGCCCTACAATGGATAAGTCATGAAATAATGATCATTTAAGTCATTTATTGAGCAAAAATGCAAAACATTTGCTGTTTCCAGCTTCGATAACATGAGGATTTGCTTTGTTTCTCGTTGTCAACTGGAATCTTTGGGTTTTAGAAGGTCGTTCAGTCAAAACAAGGTAATTGAAGATGTAGAAAAAATAATAAACAGAGCAACTGATTATGAAATGAATCTGTAGATGCAGCCCTACACCCTAACCAGCGTCATTGCTACAGTCGCGATTTAAAAAAACAAAAAAAACACACACATTATTCATTTAAATTAATTCGTACAAAACCCACGTGGCCTAGTTCATTTACTTTTCCTCCACTGTCTCATTTGAGTGACGTGCTAACAGCTTTGTTAGCTAATGCTTTCCTTTTTAACCACTGGCCTCTCTCTGAATCACAGTCCTAATCCTGTGACGTGTTGATCACCTGCTAACAGCTGACTGTGATCTGTCGTTGTGATTGAGTCACTGTAAAGCAGCTGCGATTTCAAAAAGCAGCAGCAAACAGCCTTAACTTTAGTCACAGTTTGACTCCATAATGACTCCACACATTAGTTACGTTGTCATGGTTATCTTCTCATCTTGGCTGATTTGCTTCCTCCATTTTGTGTCAACACTGTGAATTTTGAATTTGAGCAGATCATTACTAAGTTAGTGACTAGCTTGTGAGCATTTGGCTAAAAGAGTCAGAAGTTGCTGGTGGAGACCAAAACAGAGCAACAAGGAGAGGACATATATTCACAAATTGGACTGAAACATGACTCCAAATGAAAGCTAATGTTGCTCTGTGTTTGCTAACACATTAGCATACATTAATAAGTAATAATATGTGTAATGAACGTTATGTTTAGAGCTTATTTTGCTGCACCTATGTGATAAAAAAATCATTTAATGCAGGTTAAAAGAAAATTTCTTTGGCCCCTTTTTTCCAGTTTATCAGAAGAAGCTAAATTTCTCAGATTTTAAATGTCTTGTATAATAATATATTAATGTTTTGTATAAAATTGGCAAAAATTAAATTAAATCAGGAACTGATGTTTCAGACCAACTCCTACACGTCTCATTACAAACACATTTAGGTACCAAATAGATTGAGGTTTGACTTTCACTTGCAGGCCGACTCAGATAATGCAACATAGAATTAGTGTGTAACATATAACTACTGGAGGAAATGAGTAGAAATCTGCAAAGCTGAAATAAGCATCACGTCCTTGTGCTTGATGAAACCGGTGCCAGACTGAGCGCAGTCACTTCATCCTGCTGCTGGTTTCCTTCTATTTTCATATCATTTGGCACAGACGCATGTCAAGTCTAGCGTCTCCTGCTCCAGCGCTGCCTGTGTGGCCCCGGACACTTTCTGCCCTTTACCATTGTGCACTGTGCTGTGGCTGAGTGCTGTGGTGTGCCGAGGCTGTCCGATGGCAGCGTGACAGCGGCCCTCCCAGCTCGTGTCCCCCCCTGCAGCCTCGGCCGGGCCCTCGCGCCCCTGCACAAATGTCCCGTTTGTCATGCAAATGGAGGCTGCGTTTTCAGCCGCACTGATACTAAATTTGCTGTTTCGACGAGCTGATTGTTGGTCTGCTTCCAGGCCTATAGTGGCTTTTTTTGCTGCAATAACAGTAGAATTGTTCAGAGCATTGTTCAGATGATCCACTAACTGTACTTCTCTTTTCAGGGGGGTGGGGTTGACTGAGTAAGCATGCATGCTGCAACTTCTCTGGTGGCAAGAACCATGAAATAATTCCTGTTTGTCCCAGCTTTGTTGCAGACCCGCACGCAAGCAGAGGTGTATAATGCAATGTGTTTTTTTGTTTTTTTTTTGCTGTTGTTTGTTTTTTGATGAGACGTGAATAAATCCAGGTCTCGGTTTGAGGTTGTGATGGCAGCAGGTTTCCAGATTTCGCTGCTAAGATGGGATGAGAGTGAGGGTGAGGATGGCGTGAGGAGGAAGGAGGGAGGGGATGCTACTCTGTAGCACAAATTCACAATGTAAAGATAGTGGAGGCAAATAAATGAATTTACTGCTGGTGGATCCAGATGTTAATCTGCTCCGTCTAACTGTTTTTCTCACCCGTCATCTTTTTAACTTTCAGCTGTTCATGTATGCACAATGTAGAAAAATACAAGTTAAAATTTGGTCCCTTTACTCTGGAGGGAAATTTATTTTCACTGCTCTATTTATTAACACTTTGCGACCATCCTTTTCTCAGCTACAGCAGACGTATGTACGTCTTTCTATTGAACACAGGTCTGGATCTGAGACATCACTGTATCTCAGCCCGATGACAGAGAACTCACTCCACATTTGGCTGGTGGTTTAGTGAAGTGACTGAACTGGCAGCTATTTTCTGCCTGTTCTAGCTGTACAAGAGCAGTCTGAAAGCTTGTTAATGCTCAACATCACTTATTTTTTATTTTATTTTTTTACACCTTTTTTGCTTTTTTCAAATCACTCCTGTGATTCCACTTGTGTTGAAAAAAACAACTCATCACCAGCTGCAATTAGCACTTCAGCAGTAAATTGGTGACATGTGCTTCGTTAGTTGTTGACTTGTTTTTTTTTTTTTTTTTTTTAATTTTTTCACCAAAATTATACTGTTGTGCAAATGTTTTGTCGGACCATTTGTGATACCTTTGTGGCCCACCAGTGGGCCTAGGCCCACGGGTTGGAAACCACTGACCTAGGTGATTCACCAGCGTTGTTGTCCATTCATTTACTGTTGATCAGCTAATTGAATAATGTGCTAATTGCTTCAGTAGCGCTAGCAAGTGCTAATTTCATCTGTAACATTGCTGTAACATACTGTATATTTGTTGAAGTGATGGATTATGGGATTTCAAACCTAGCTTTCCATTGCACAGTCACAGATGCAGCTGCTCTGTGAGAGAACAGCAGTGGCACTTTATGCTAAGCTAAGCTATCAGGCCGCTGGCTCTAGCTTCTTATTTAGCACACAGACATGGACGTGGTATCAATCCTCTTGTGTGATTCTGTAGAAAGCAAAAAAATGGAATATTCTTTGCAGTTAGACGCTTTGGAATTTCCTCACAGGCTGCGTCAGTGATTTTCATTCACTCAGTTAAAGGTTTAGTTGTTGACCACAGAGAGCGTGAGCGACGTTGGCATCAGTGTGTCAGTATTCTGTTCACACTTGAGTCATGGTCGAAGTGCCACTACGCTCTGACCTTTGACCTTTGCAACTTTTACAAAAAAGTGACTTATATGGACTGACATGTTAAAATACATTTACATTAGAGTTATCCAAAATGTATGTTCTCGATACAGTCCAGTGCAATATGACGATATATGTTATTTTTTTAAATCATATAATCATATG